GAATAAATAAATAAAATCTTTAAAAGAAAAAAAGAAAAAAGTTATTTGAGAGTAACTCAATTTATAACTGATAGTGATAGCTCAAGCCATCAATGTGCATGAAGAGAATTCGTGCAAAGCAAGACAAAATTTTATTTTTTTAAGATTTTATTTATTTACTTATTTAGAGAGAGCACATGAGTAGGGGGAGGGGTGGAGGAAGAAGGAGAGAGAGAATGTCAAGCAGACTCCCCGCTAAGCAGGGAGCCCATCAGGGGCTTGATCCCACGACCCTGAGATCATGACCTGAGCTAAAATCAAGAGTAGGACACTCAACCGACTGAGTCACCCACGTGCCGCCCCGAGACAAAATTTTAAATTATTTTCTAATATAATGCCATTTAAAAAAATTAAAAGTGGCTTGAAACTTAACAGGGATTTTAAAGACTCCAAAATGATGATTTTATGTCATGGAAAGATGATTCAATGTCATGGAAAGATGTTCACAATATATTATTATATGAAAAACCCAGATTAACAAAAAATATATATGTTAAAATAGAATCCTTTGTTGTTGAGGTAAAATGCACATAACATAAAATTCACCATGTAAACCATTATAAAGTGTACAATTTCATGCATTTAGTACGTTCACAGTGTTGTGCAACCACCACCTCTAACTAGGTCCAGAGCACTTCATCACCCAAAAAGGAGACCTCCTACCCTGTACAGTCACCCTCCAGTTCCCCCTCCCACCCTTCAGCCTTGGCAACCACCAATCTGCTTTCCATAGCTATAGATCTTCCTATCCTGGACATATATTGCATATAATGGAATTTTACAATATGTGACATTTCACTCAGTATCATGCTTTCAAAGTTCATCCATGTTGTAACATGTATCAGTGCTTCATTACTTTTTATAATCCAGTAAAATCCTTGTTATGGATATACCACGTTTTGTTTATCCATTCATCTGATCATGGATATTCGGATTATTTCCCAAATATCCAACTTTTGACAGTTGTGAATAGTGCCACGATGAACTTGTGTACAAGCTTTTGTTTGAACACCTGTTTTCAATTCTTTGGGGTATATACCTAGGCGTGGGATCAGTGCCTCATATGATAGTTCTATGTCTAATTTATTGGGGACACACCGAATGTTTTGCACAAGGGCTGCACCATTTTACATTCCCACCAATAATGGGTCAGTGTTCCAACTACACCACATCTTCACCAGACCTCTTATTTTCCCTTTTTCAGACTCTTGCTATCCTCGTGGGTATGAAGTGGTATCACATGAAGCATTGCTTTGCATTTCCCTGATGACCAATGATGTTGCATTTTTTCATGTGCTTATTAGCCAGTAAAACAGCATTTTTAAACAGATGATTACATGTAAATATAATACATTTAGATGTAAATAACATTGTTTTACTTGTATAAAGATTATATACATAAATAAGAGCTGGATGTATATGTGAGAAAATATGAACTGTGATTATTTTGACATGTGTGAATTATGGATATAAAAATGATTTTTATTTCTTACTTTTTCTTCTTTGTGTTTTCTCCTATGAAGACATATCATTTTGGGAAGACGAACAATATTTTAGTTAAGAACTCGGCAAAGAAAAACACATGTGATTTTCAGCTTACAATATATTAAATATTTATTCATTTCATGTTGCAATGTTTCCTTCATATTTTGCAATCTGTAAGCCTCCAGGGCCCCCAATCTGTGGGCCTCAGAAAGGTTTTGAGGTCCTAGACACTGTACCCCAGGGGGGTGCTCCTACAGCCTGAGAGGAAGGAGTCCAGGGGCAGCCACTGTTCCAGGTGCTGAAGGAAGCGGTTCAACTCCCCACCTCACTATTGAGATGCACATGATCTCCACCTCTTGAAACATTTAGGCAAAAATGAAGGCAGTTTCATGCCTCTCGAGGGGGAAAAAAATCTTTTTTTTTTTTTTTTAGTTCCTAGCTTCAAGACCAGCTTGCCATCAAAGGCCCTTGGAGTTTCTCCGAGGTAACTATGGATATTTACAACTAACTGGGTCTTCTAATGTTAGTTTTCTTCAACAGAAGGTTGCCACATTTACCAATACTTAAATTTAACTTTTGTGACTAAATTTAGCTTTTTAAATTTCAGAACGTGATGCAAAAAGATGACAGAAGGGAACAAATTAACCCTCACTGAGTACTGATGCTTACCAGATATTGACTCAGTGATGTTGCACATGCTTGCTTATGCAATCTCCCCATCAGTGTAATAAGGTGGCTATTACTGTATGGTAATGGAACGGAGGCTCAGAGAGATCAACAATTTTCCCAAACCCACACAGCTAGGAAATAGCAGACTGGGATTGTGATCTTGGTAATACAACTCCAAGGTGCGCTGGATCAGGGTCATCGGACCCTCACTGCATTTAGTTATCTGCCCCACCTTTCCTAAAGAGTGGTCTTGTCCTCTTAAGCCAAGAGAGAGCTCCAGCTACCCACACCACCCCAAGAAACAGAAAAGAAGAAAGGGGAAACTCGACAGAATGTCCAGCTTTCTCTCCAGGAGAGTTTCCAGAATTACCAGGTACTCTTTAACTTTTCCACATGGGACAGGGCATACTCATTCAGCGAATCTAGTTTCAAGAAAAGCTTTCAAATACTATCTGTATTTCAGCCTGCCATGCACCTAACAAAAACCTAAGGATTACAGGAAGGCAAAAAGGAACGTCAGGATACACAGCAGTCTCTGACATCATCCATCCTGTTGACTACCAAAGCATCCAATGTGTACTCCTCTTCCTATACAAGGAACACCCCCAGGGGAGTCAACCTCAAAGTGCACCAGCTCCCTCCATTTAGCCCAGGTTCCAGGGTCTCTGCGTGATGTGCTGTCCTCTCCCTCAAGCCCTGATGTGAGCTTTTTTGTGGTCCAGGAATCTCTACACTTAAAGGCAATTTTCACCCTCAATACATTCAAGAGGGGAGTAATAACTGGATCGTGACCATTAAAATTCCAACTGAGACTTCCTGTTCCCACTAATGGCAAGCTAGGTTACTTGGATTAAACTTTCAATTTTTAAAAAACAACTCTCACAGCTGGATACTTTTCCAATTTCTTTCTTTCTTTTTTTTTTTTTTTTTATTTTATTTATTTATTTGAGAGAGAGAGAATGAGAGACAGAGAGCATGAGAGGGAGGAGGGGCAGAGGGAGAAGCAGACTCCCTGCCGAGCAGGGAGCCCGATGTGGGACTCGATCCCGGGACTCCAGGATCATGACCTGAGCCGAAGGCAGTCGCCCAACCAACTAGCCACCCAGGCGTCCCGATACTTTTCCAATTTCTTAAATGAATACATGACCAGAAAAGATAGTAAAGAATTACGAAGACACCACTCAAATGAAACTAGAAGCCTAGAGCTAAATGAACATGAATTACACATTTGCCCTGGAGGCCTTTCTCAAGTCAGGAAAATGTGAAGCTGTTTTGATGGCTTCATGGTCAGGGGAGAAAAATCAAGGCCTATAGTGATACGAGAAAGAAATTGTGAGAAGACCCTCCTTACATAAGTGGAGACCTCAAAAAGCTACACCCCTCAGAGTGAGAGGAGTGGAAGAGCCTGTAAGTGTGATCTCAACTAGAATTTAAACTGCCTTCCTGATCTTGGCCACCACAAGTCTTGAACTTCATTTAACATAATCTTCCATCAGCAAGGCTCCAAGACCTCCTCCTTAGAGAAAGCTACCTTCTTCAAATTCTACAAATCTTATTTCAAATATGATAACCAGTAGTCAGGCAAAGATAACCAGGCACACAAGAACGACGACCCTGCCAGTGAAAACCAGCAAAAACAACAGACTATATAACAGATACAGTGACTGCAATGATCACACAGGATAAAGTATATTTGCTTTGTTGAAGTAAACATAGTAACTATAGACATAGTGAAGGATCCTGAGGTAAGAGAAGTTTGGGTATATTAGATAGGAACAGAGGTCAGGCTGATCAGAGCGTAGTGCTACTACGGGTTCTCCTCTGTGACCCAGAGCCTCAAACATGCCCTTAAGTCAGTCCTTAACCCTGGTCCCTCTCTCGCTCAAACACCTCCCAAGGCTCCCTATTGCCTACAGGATAAACTCCTTGATTGGGCTCTGGTAGAACCAGCAATCAACATGGGGGGCCTGTGGTCATCTGGAAAGGCTCTCAGGGTCTTGGGCCTCCTCTCCACCCCGCCTCACCCACCCCTGCTGGCTCTCGATGAGGCTCTGGCAGAGGAGACTGCAAAGTTTCATTCCTGGGAATCCACAAAGCGAGGCGTGTAGGTTCTGGGTGGATCCCAAGCCAGCAGCTCGCAAGGTCACCGGGAGCCCGCGCTCAGTGGCTCCACGCGCAGCCGAAGTCCACCCTCTGCGCGCAGGATGAGCTCCGGCTTCCTGCGCGGCTCCTCCTCATCTGGCAGGACCCGGAAGCGCAGCAGCGTGAGCGCCAGGACCACCTTCATCTCGGTCATGGCGAATGTCTGCCCAATGCAGTTCCTGTGGGCGGAAGTGACGGCTCTGACTCGCCAGGGACCCAGCAGGTCCCATCGCGCCCAGAACTTGGCCCGGGACCCCCAGCCCTGCCTGCAGGGATCCAGAAGTGGGCTAACCCATGCCTGGGACCCCCATGTGGGCTTGCCTATCCCCTGAGCTTGGCCCAGACCCCAGCCCTGAACTCAGGCCAGCAGACAGGGGGAAGGGGCTCTGCCCACACCGAGGAGCTCTTGTTAGACCCACCCAACCTCCACTCCCCAGACCGTTACCTCTAACCTCTGGAAGAGGGGAGAGAAGGAGAGCCATCCTCAGTTTCCCCCCTTTCCTGCCCCCACAGCCATGTCTGGGTTCTCAGTCCCAGATCCCTGCCTTCACCACCACATTCCCACCTGGGATGCCCGCTGCGCTCACCTGGGCCCCGCGGAGAAGGGAATAAAAGCCAGGGGAGACCTCTTCTGGGGGATTTCTGGGTCGAAGCGGAAGGGATTGTATACCTGGGGTCAGACAGAGGCAGGGCTGCTGGGTGGGGTTTCTCAAGATACCCAGACAACGCTAGAAAAGACAGCTGTGGATACAGTGGAAGGGGAGTGTCTGACTTCCCTGGTCAAGACCCCGCCCCCTGGTCCGGTGGCCGGGTGGAGAAGAGGGAGGGAAGCACCTCAGGGTCCGGCCAGATAGACGGGTTGTGATGAATCCCAAAGATGCTGATGACACAGATGCTCCCTATGGGGGAGAAGAGAAACAGTCAGGATAAGGTCTCAGCGGATAGGACCACCACCCTCCTCCCCCTGATGCTGTGGACACCTTTGGGGATGACCCGGCCATCAGGGAGCCTGACGTCCTGGGTACAGCGGCGGGCAATGACTGTAACCGAGGGGTGCAGCCTCAGACTCTCCTTGATGCACATGGTCAGGAAGGGCAGCTGGGCCAGGTCGTCCCTAAGGAAGCCCCCCAACAATTATCCAAGGATCGAATCAAAGACTCCCCCAGCCCTCCTGCTGCCCCTGGAGACCCTCTCCCCACCTTGCTCTGACCCTCACTTCTATAACAAAATAAATTCCAGATGGGCCAAAAATTTAAGCATTAGAAAATCAAAATCACAAAAGTCACTAGAAGGAAATTTAACCTAGTATTTTTAGAAGCATTTCTGAGCAAAGCACAACATTCACAGGGTATCCTTAAAAGTGTTAATACATTTGCATAAGAAAGTTTTTTAAGTATACAATTAGTTGAAAAGGAAAAAAAATATATACTGGACTTAACAGGTTATTTGAACAAATAAGACCCACACTCTAAGGTGGGATGACCTAATATTATAAAGGCGTAGATTCTTTGTAAGTTAATTGATATATTCAAGGCAATTCAGTAAAAATCTAGTTGTTGTTGTTGTTTTGAACTCAGTAATCTTACTCAATTTGAAAAAAATAAACTTCAAGAGCTATGTCAGGTATTAAGGAGGGCACGTATTGCATAGAGCACTGGATGTTATACACAAACAATGAATCATGGAACACTACATCAAAAATTAATGATGTAATGTATGGTGATTAACATAACATAATAAAGAAAAAAGAGCTATGTCAATTTAAAAAATAAAAGATTGAAGAAAGAGAATTCATCTACCAAATATTAAGACCTATTATAAAAGTAGGTAATATTAAAATAAAATAAATAAAATAACAGCATGGCACTGTTGCAAGAACAGGAAAACAGACCCATGGGACAGGATAGAGAGCTCAGAGACAGGCATATGAATAGTTGAAAACATAGCATCTGGTAAAGGAGGCCCCACAATCCCTCAGAAATGGATGGTTCAGACAACTGATGATGTGGAAATAAAAAGTACTGGATTATCATGCACTCTACATGAAGATGGAGTCTTCTCTTATACTTGAAAGGTAAAACCATAAAGTTAAAAGAAGATATAACATAGAAGAAAGACATCTTTGTGACCTATGAGTAGGAAGGAATTCTTAAAACCCCCAAAACATAAAATGGAAGAGAAAGAAAAAAAAAAGGAAAACTATGCACAGAATTAAGGATTTCTGTTTAACAAAAGACACCCTGGACCAAATTAACATTCAGATGAGAGATTTACAGAAGATTATCTGCAATAAATAAATGGATCTAGAACAATATCTTGAATATACAAGGACTTCCTGCAAATCAACAAGAGAGATGACAAGGACTCAAGAGATAAGCAGACAAAGGATATGTTCTAAGAATTCATGGGAGCTCAAACTCAGAGATTTAAAACATGAACAGAAGCTCAAAGTCGCTGGTTATGAGACAAATGGAAATTATCTAGTAATGAGATATTACCTCACATCTATTTGAGGGGAGAATTAACAAGATGGGTGATGGTGAGGATTAAGTAGCTGAGGCATGGGGTAGAGAGACCTCATGCGTTGACGGTGACAGTATGAACATGAGCAACCACTCTAAAAGGCATCAGTGTGGTCAAGGAAAGGCAATGTGTGTTTTACGACCTACCAACCTGGCTCTTGGGCATAGAACCCAGAGAAATTCTCAGATAGGTAGATAAAGACATGCACACCAAGATGTTCATTGCAGTAATGAGATGGAAGCCTCCTGGATATTCAGCTCTAAGGGATTGTAGAGGGAAATTCTATATGACAGTTCAAAGCAATAACCTAAATATAACAGAACCAGGGATTTCTAATAAAGTCATAGTGCTATGTTTCTGAAAAAGGTAAGAGCCAGCAGGAGATCTGTGATATAACACATATCTGTGAATTTTAAAATACATCTACCCAAAACAACAAATTATGCAAATAAAAGGATTGAATGCTCTAGAATCATATTGATGGAGTGCTGGAAGTAGAGAATTGGAATGAATGGGAATAAGTAAGTATTGCACAAAAAAATAATGATAATTAGTCATGAGTAAAGGGCCACGGTTAACTTCATCCTTGACACCTGATGCCCAAATAACTAACAGATTAAAACTGTCAAGAGTATTTTTCAAACTACCCAATCCAATCATAGTGTTCAAATGAAAAAAATAAAAATGCAAGAAAAAATGTAAATGCAAAGTAATGAGATAGAACCAACTTTATCAATTATGAAAATGTTTTTTAATATGATAATGAAGACTGCTTAGTGCTTATGTATGAATATATAAATAGAACAGAATGGAGTCCAGAAATAAGCCCTAATATATGAACAAATTTAGTTTATTGTAAAGCTGCTATTATTTAAAATCCTAAGACAAATACAAACTATGTATCAAATTCTGTTGAAATAATTAGCCATTTGGAGAAAAAAATAGATTCCTACTTCAGCACTTATACCAGTATGGATTTAATATGGAAGAAAGATTAAATGTAAGAAATAATAATAAATATATTAAATAAAATTTAAGTTCAATAACATTTTTCAATAAATAAATCCATTAGAAGAAAACAAACAAGTTTTAAAGTTTAGCATTAGAGTGTGAAGGGCTTTTCCAAGCATTAAAAAAAAAAAAAAACAGAAGCTATAAAAAAGCCAATAAGGAGCGCCTGGGTGGCTCAGTCAGTTAAGCGTCTGCCTTCGGCTCAGGTCATGATCCCACGGTCCTGGGATGGAGTCCAGCATCGGGCTCCCTGCTCAGTGGGAAGCCTGCTTTTCCCTCTCCCCTACTTGTGTTCCCTCTCTCACTGTGTCTCTCTCTGTCAAATAAATAAATAAAATCTTAAAAAAAAAAAAAGCTAATAAATGTGATTACAAAGAAATGAATGAAAACCAAAATAAAGTCAAAAGACATCCTGGGAAAGAATTTTTGCAAAAAAGAAAAGAAATTAATTCTCTTTAAAGAGTCCTTATAAATCAGTAAGAAAAAAACAAAAAAACTCAAGGTAAAAAGGACAAATTACGCAAAATGATGCTTTGCAGAAAAAGAAATATTCATGGTTCATAAACATGTGAAAATAGTGCTCAGTTTTACCCATACTTAAAGTGATGTTCATTAGAATAACAAAGTATTATATTCACTTACCAGGTTGGCAAAAGTTGTAAAGTTTCATAACACACACTGTCAGTGAGGATGCGAGGAAATTGGCACTCTGAAAATCCGTTTGTAGGAGTCGATTTGCCAAGAGCTAATTAAATTATGAAAACTCAAATGGTCTTTGATTCAGCAACACCACTTCTAGAAATTTGTTCTGGAGAGACATCTACACATGTGAGCAAAAATCAGTGTACATGGATGTTTACTACATCATGTTTATTATAGCAAAAGCTCCCAAACTACAAATGTCCATCGACAGGAATGTTTAGATAAATCATGGTACATCCATGTGATGGAATACTATACAGCTAACAAAAAGAAGGAAATGGGGCTCACTAGTCCTAACACACGCTGCAAGGTAAATCAGTACAGAGATGCTGAAAGGCAGTTCAGCAATATCTATCATAACTACAAATCTTCTCATAAATGTCCCCAAAAAAGGGGTGAGATGAATAATTTATGCAATCCTATATCGCACTCAGAAAGGAGCTCTAAGACATAATATTGAGTGAAAAAAACAAGTGACTAAATATGTGGGGATGTATTTCTATTAAACTATAATAATTACATAAATATATAACTCTAAGAATTTCAGAAAAGTCTGAAAGGACATATGACATATTGATGCCCCTAGAGACCCCTCGGGAGACAGGGGATTGATGAGGCTTGGGGGGAGGGCAACAAAGGTGAACCTAACTTCTCCATAGTGTTTCATTTTGTGCAAGAAAAAATAAAAAGTCTTCTTCCCATTATTGATTTTGTAATTCAAATTAATTTCTCAAAATTTGTATCCTGAAAAAAAAATGAAAAGATCTGGAAATTATATTGTCAACCTGCATGCCTGAATGTTCTATGTATATTCTCAGTTGTAGAAAGAAAACTGAATGAGCAAAGAGATGGTGGACAGATACATGTGGGCATAGACTGAACATTGGAAGGACACAGGAAACTATCAAAGGTGGGGATGGGATTGGGGTGCTGGCATAAGACAGAGGCTTATGTGAAATAATAGAAGAGTTTAACCTTTTACTCATCTTGCAATATATATCAAATCCTTGTGTTGTACACCTTAAACTTACACAGTATTATATGTCAACTATATCTCAATAGAGCTGAGAAAGAAAAAAAGACAAAGGCTTATATCCATTGCAAACCAATTCATACTGTTGAAATTTTTACCAAGTGTATAATTGTTTGAAGTTGGGAGAAGCACAAAAACACTTCTCCACTTCACAGAACTGCTCTGCTGAGCAAAGCCTTGAAGTTGAGGGCACTACCTCCAAAGTGTTCAGTCCAACATCTCCTCTGCATCCTTCAGCCCTTGGCTCCAAATCTGCTCCCTGGCCCCCAGGCTCCAGCTCATCACCTCCAGTTTGCCCCTGTAGCTACAGATATTTTTAATAAGAATATCTGACTTTTCAGAATTTGAATTGAGTGGGGAGGAGCAAGATGGTGGAGGAGTAGGAGACCTAAATTTCATCTGGTCCCAGGAATTCAGCCATATAGGGATCAAACCATTCTGAACACCTACGAATTCAACAGGAGATCAAAGAAAAGAATAGCAGCAACTCTCTGAACAGAAAAGCGACCACTTTCTGGAAGGGAGAAGCCAGGAGTTGGGAGTTTCCCTTCAATCACCATGCTGTGCTAATGGGAGGAGCTCTGGTCTCTTCTGATTTGTTTAGTGTATATTTTCCTGGGTCGTTGTTACCCTGTTAGCATTTTGTTCTCTCATTCATCTATTCTCCTCTGGACAAAATGACAAGACAGAAAAAATCACCTCAAAAAAATGAACAAGAGGCAGTACCATCTGCCAGGGACCTAATCAATACAGACATTAGTAAGATGTCGGAACTTGAGTTCAAAATGACAATTTTAAAGATACTAGCTGGGCTTGAAAAAAGCATGGAAAATATTAGAGAAACC